AGTTCCAGATCAACTTCGACCTATCTCAATTCCCCGCATTTTTGCTGAAAAGTACCAACAAGTCAATTGCAATAGAAGATTTTTCACTGATGGATCACGCATTGATGGATCCACTGGCTTCGGCGTCTTCAATGAATACTCAACCGCCTTTCGGAAACTTCAGGAACCTTGTTCCGTTTATGTTGCTGAGCTAGCAGCAATCAACTTCGCATTGGGGATGATTTCCGATATGCCCATAGACCATTACTTCATCTTCTCGGATAGTCTCAGTTCGATTGAGGCTATTCGGTCGATGAAACAAGGTAGGCACTCATCTTATTTCCTTTCAAAGGTAAGGGAACAGATGAGTTTGCTGGTCGAAAGATCATATATGATTACCTTTGTATGGGTCCCCTCACATTGCTCAATCCCAGGCAATGAGAAGGCAGACTCTCTCGCAAAGGTGGGCGCACAACAAGGCGAGATTTATGATAGAAGAATTTCACACGATGAATTTTTCCCATTAGTACGTCAGAGTTCTCTTTTAAGTTGGCAAAACGATTGGACAAATAATTCTCTTGGGCGGTGGTTACATTCCATTATTCCAAATGTTTCTTCGAGAGCGTGGTTCAAAGGTCTGGATGTAAGTCGGGGATTCATTCGAGTGATGTCAAGACTTATGTCCAACCACTACTCGCTAGACGCACATCTCTATAGAATAAACCTCGTTGACAGCAATATATGTAGGTGCAGAACCGGTTATGATGACATCGATCACGCAGTTTGGTATTGCCCGGGTAATGACGCCTCCAGAGCACGACTATTGGATACCCTAGTGGCCCGAGGTAGACAACCCTTCCGTGAAGTAAGAGATGTATTGGGAACACGTGATCTTCCCTACATGCAAGCGATCTACGAATTCCTTTGTTTGTCTGATGTTAGAGTTTGATGTGACTATCCCCTCCTTTCCAAACAATTTCCCGCCATTGTGTCCCAGTCTTATTATCCTCCTGTTCCTGTGCTACTTGCCCCTGCCCAGCCAGGATTTGGTCAACCGTCCGAGAGTAGTATCTGAAGGAGGCTTCAGAAACCAGTTTCCTACCTAGATCCTTCCAATTGAAATTGTTACCTATTAACCTCGAGCCCGCCACGAGTAATTGGTACCCAACATTAACCTAGAAATACTGCTATTTAAAATGTAAATCAAACATTACTGATTTTGGCTCCGCAAAGTGTCACACACGACTGAGCCTAGTAAATAAACGAACTAGTTAAAAAAAAAAATCCTTACATTATTAGTAATTAGAGATAAACATATATATGTGCTCAATATAACCTTGAAATTTCAGTGTTACATCCACTTGATATTGTGAGCTGAGGAAACATCCCAACAAACAATTTTAGCTGCAGATTTGCTTACACAGCCAAAAATTGGCTTATACAGCTAATATTTGCCTGTATAAGCTAGTCTGTAGCTAAAATTGTTTGTTGGGATAGAGCTGCATCTTATTATATGTAAAATATTTTTTTTCATTGCAGAATATCAACTATTTAATCTATATAAATTTATATTCATTATTTCATATTTAATGTTCTGATATATTTCATTTCTCCACTACATATATTTTCATTTTATAAATCAATACTGGGTTGGGTGGGAGCATCAGGGTATCATTTGACCTGGGACTAGACGATGGAGTGGTATGACAACTGGAGTCTAGGAGGGAATAAACATTATCATTTTTTTTATCCTACCGATTCGATTGTGGTGGTGTGAATTCTACTTCAACAGTTTCAGTGAGATTGAAGCGCCCTTCTTTACAAATCATCCTGTAGGAAGCTTATTGAGTATTACGAATTGTGTTATTCGATTTGTTGGATCGTATCGTTGGAAGGAGATTCTTAAATTCTCGTGGATTTCGTGTAAGTGCCTCTGCTTACGGGTCCACCCCACCGTTTTTGGCCCTTCATATAGCGATATTGTGAATTCAGATCGGTAGCTCAAATTGATCTGGCTATTAAGTGGAGCTGCATACAAGACAAGATCATTGAATGGATGGTGGCTACCTTCCATACATACATACATACAAACAAAACCACTAATTAATTTTCCGGTGTTAAATTTGTGTCATAATTTCTATAATTTCAATGTGAGCTGAAGAGCTGTTCAAAAGAATCGACTCCCTTTAGTGAGCTGGATAGGTTTAATCCACTCAGCCAGACGAACTGTTTTGCCCACCTCTAGAGCGTACCTCCAAATCAACACTTCGGTACCAACTGAACAAGCGAAAGCTGACAAAAGGAGATCATGGAGAAGAGCAAAGAGCACATATAACAAAGCTGAATTGGTGTGACACGATGTCTAAAAAGTTTATCTAAATGTGTTTGCCTTATTTTCGCGTATATTTACATTTAAACCTAAATTTGTGTGCATTTAAACCTGAATTTGTTATCCTACACATGCAATGAGTTGAACTAATAACAGTTTTGTTTATTGAAGTGCTAATTAAAATGAAATTTATTATCCTAGAAATTGTTATAGGTTAAGTTGATTTGCAATCTGCCTCTAGCCGCCTCTAGGCAGAAAAGAAAACTATATCTTTTCTGCACAAACCGGTAAATCTGATAACTAAAAGTTTAATTTGAAGATTTCGTAAATTTGATTATTTTTTTTTCAGGATTCCAGCCTAGCGTGACATAGATTCCATTCCGGGCTAAACAATGAAAGAAGATAACAAAACGTAAGTTATAAGATGATAGTAAAAATTGTATTCAAGAACGCATATTTTTTTCAAGAAACCTTAACGCAACATATAATAAACACGTTTAAAATTTCGGAGCTGACGGAGCTCTATTAGTTGCATAAGCAACATACCTTATATCAGCCGTATTACGAGCTTTATATTGCAAAAAGGTCGATTAGCGGACTTTTTGGTTACATGGGTAGTAGACTGATACAACATTTGAAATTTTCGCTCCACGGTGCTCAAGAGTTTCCAAATAGGGTACTGATAAGCCTCCCAAAATTTTAACTAGTTTATTAAGAAACTGACTTGGCACAAAGCTTACGAAGTTTATATAGAAATAACATATGGGAAAACCAAATGTTTTGTTCATATCGCTCAAAAAATGCACAATGCTACTCTGCTTTAAAAAATAATAACTTTACTTGTAGAAAATTTTCTCAGCTACAACTTTGTCTAATACCACTTTTCGATCAAATGTAAGCAACAAAAGATATTCATGATTCAAGTCACTAATGTTTTATGATAATGCTCATTCAACTGTTCAGCAGGCAACATTGGTGTTTCTGTAGCGTAGAATAGAGCACAAAAATCATGGCTACTATGTCACACTGCACAATACAGTGTTAGCCGGCGCCGGTGGTGTAGTGGTAAGCGTGACTGATTTCTAACACCCCAATGGGTCTGGGTTCAATCCCAGTCGAGATCGGTGGGATTTTTCTGAGGCATACAAATCTCTGGTCACGTCTTCCTTCGGAAGGGAAGTAAAGCCGTTGGTCCCGGCCTATGTGTGTTGAATGGGTGCGATATCCTACGCAGGTGTGGAAGCTGCCTTCCTGCACATTCGATTGCCGTCAATGGATGGCAATCGATGTCCGTTGGTGATTGGCACTAGATTGCGGAACAGAGATCGACGTTAAATAAAGGAAAAGAACAATACAGTGTTGCATACAAAACAGTTGATCGCCATATGATCGTCAATCTCATAAACAATTAATCAATATTTAATTTGAAGAGTTGGTTGGAAATGCTAACATGAAGCTTTAGTGTGATGATTTATTAGCTAGAGAATGATCTTTAAAAGAGGGTAGGTGGATAGTTCCGTTAGAGTACGGCAGTATGAAAATTGAATAGAAGTTGAAAATGAGCGAAGGGCCATTAATGCGACAGTTTTTAAAGATAGACGCACATTTAAAAAAAAAAACTGTCGCATTAATGGCCCTTCGCTCATTTTCAACTTCTATTCAATTTTCATACTGCCGTACTCTAACGGAACTATCCACCTACCCTCTTCTAAAGATCATTCTCTAGCTAATAAATCATCACACTAAAAGCTTCAAGTTAGCATTTCCAACCAACTCTGAAAATCGTTAACATCGCGTATGAAGTAACATAAAAACACTTTGAATTTAATTCGAAGTTTGGCTGGAAAACGATCTTCTGCTAAGTTGTAGCTGAAAAAATTTCCCATAAGAATATCTGTAGAACATTTTGGCAGTGCAATATGGAAAAAGGCTAGAAGGCAATGAACACAAAATTTGATTTCCCCATAGTAATCTCCATATAAAGTTCAAATGGTTTGTGCCAAGTCAGTTTCTAGCCAAATGAGCTTAAATTTTGGGAAGTTAATCAGGACCCGATTTGGAACCGTTTGAGCACTGTGGAGCGAAAATTTCAAATTTTGCATCAGTCTTATGGATAGTGATGTCATGGATTTTCGCTTTGTCAAAACAACGATCGAGATTTTAATAATAATGAAGTAAGGTGTATCGTTCGACAGATTTGGGCTCCATGCCTGGGGCAACCGTGAAATGTCTGAAATGGTCAGAGTTAGAAAGAAACTAAAAGCAACTATTTGGAACACGATATCTGGATGGAACAAACAATGCCGATTAATTATAAAAAAATAAAATCAAAACGTTTATGTTTGCCCGGTTCAATTTTGACAACATTAAATTTTCAGGCTGGTTGTCTAAATCAAACGGACACTGTTTAAACATTTATATCTCAATACCCCCCAATTTTTCGATACTCATAAAATAGCCCAGCAATTGAATTGCAATCCATATTTAAAATGCTCCAAATACCCTCTTCTTCAAAACTACCTGTGCTAGGAAATACAATTCAAAATTCATCTTTGCAGTACAATCTACTATCGCAAATTTAAAAAAAAATTTAAATAATTTCAAAGCGGATCAGAGATTACATTTCACTCGAAGGATGGGAAATACGAGCTTCAATTTAACCCCACGAATACAAGACAATGTATCTACTCACCTGGTACTGGCCCGCACACGCGTGGGATGATTTCTAGGATGGCGGAACATGACGGATCCTCGAAACAGAGTTGTCTCGCTAATATACAATTTAATATAGCTATTGCAGTCTTAATATTCGGTCCTGAAAGTGAGACATAGAAAAACAGGCAAATGTTGTCATTAGTTCATTTTGTAGATGTCGACAGACGGTATTTATGAAGCATAACTTGATTCAAATATACGAATAGAATGTCGGTATTAAAAGTTTCCCTTTCTCTGTATAGTTTCCCATAGTTCACATTCAATATATACGTATCGCGCGCTGCACGAGGAATGTCAACTCATCGTCGCTGCATTTGTCAGAGCGAGTGCGCCCCGAGAACGGCTTTTCATAAAAGCAACAACTTCAACTGTTATGAAAAATAAATCAAAGCACGATTCTACAAATGCTATGAACGACATCCGTTGCTGCTAGATGAAAGCTGTTGCTCTTAGGAAGAGCAAAAAGGTTCTGTTATTTTTCAAAATGTTTTCTCGCCTTATTCCCGAACGAGTGCCTCAGCAGTGACAACCCGAAATGACTTCATGAAATTTTAATTAGATTCCATCAACACTCTTCACGCTTCCAACCCTCCTTCGTTCTAAATGTTCTAAAGGATCGAGGATGAGTTGGGTAAACTTTTTCGAGAGGCACTTGAGCTAGTTGCAGTTCCATACCGAGATTGAAGCAACTAGTTCTACCTTGTGCGCGCTTCAACGAGAGCTGTGACGTATCTACATAGCTCCACTGCACTGGAGCGAGGATGAGCAAGGAAGGAAAAAGTCAATTAGCGACTATGATGGGGCGATTCAATTGCGGGATTCATATACATACAACATGAAAGCACCCGCCAGTCGCCCCAAACCGCACGAAAGTCGAAAATTGAAATAAAAATTAAAATTCATCCTAATTTTCCCTCCGTTGGTCAGCGGAACTGGTAGAACTTGGCATTCATTCGTTTGAAAACCCCCCAAAAAAAAAGAGCACACAGAGAGAAGCTGAGTCCGGCAGGTGTGTGCTTTCCGGACTTGCTGGGACACGCGATTCCGGTGTGTCCCGCAAGGACGGTGCTGGGCACGCAACGCAAAGGCTTTGGGTGAAAAAAAAAATAATCAAAGACGAGTGGTTTTCCCATTTGCGTTAACAGGTAAAGCGAACTGACGAAGCCGCCATGGTCGTTGCTGACTGGGGGGCTAATTCACATATCGTTGGTCGTGGAAAGATTTGCTAAACCCCTGACGGCAACCACGGCGACGACGGTTAGGATCGGTGACGGCTCACACGAAACGTCCATATCGCGAAAGCATTCACTCTGGAAGAAAGGCAATTAAATCGTGGGGTTTCGTTAATGTTGGTTGCTTTTCACTTGCCTTACTCGGTTCGGTTAAGGGACGTAGTCAGGGGTTCTAGCTTAGTTTATTTTATCGCCAGTAAATAGATTCTCTGCAAACAGTGATTTCTGTTTCGCTTCCAACCGATGAGAACAGTATTTAGAACGTTTGTAGAATCAACAGATTATTGTGTTTATAGTTTGTTTATTTGTCCAGGCTCATTCGCGAAAGCTTTATGGAGCCAAATTTCAATTAATGCTTAACAAGATAACATAAGGTTTGTATCCACAATAATCCGGACACATCAAAACTTTAGTAAAACACAAATTTTGCATTATATTTCAATTGTAGTTGTTTATTTCAGACTCATGGGATATGATTTTAAAATGCATGAAGTCAAAACATAGTTTGCATACAATTTTCGAACTTTAGGCTTAACTCCAGCCATTGGGGCTTGTACAGACTCCTCAGATACCGTGATGGCCGTCTTTCTCCAAATTTGTTGGAAAAGTTTGATATCGTTGATTCCTTGTTTCTTTCCAGACAGATTCCACTTCATCAGAGCCCAATATCTCTCGGTTGGACGTAACTATGGGCAATTAGGTGGATTTGCGGTTTTTGGTACAATATTCACTTGATTTGCTTCGTACCACTTCATGGCAGTTTTAACATAATGGCATGATGCCAAATCGAGCCAGAACAAAGGGTTTTCATTGGGGCTTTTGATGAAGAGTAGCAATCGCTTCTGCAGGTACTCTTTCTGGTAAATCTCCTTGTTGATTGTGCCTGTAGTGACGAAAGATTTACTCTTTCGGTCATACGTGCAAATTGCTTGCTAAGTAAGATATTTTTTGGGAAATTTCATCCTGAAATACTCAGCTGTAGCATTTTTGGCCATAGCAGCCCTGGAAGCTGCTTAAAATCCTCCAGGACATAGGTTTCATCGTCCATAACAACGCATGAAAACTTCGTCAAATATTGGCAGTACAAACGTCAAGCCCGTGATTTTGCTATCAAATTCTGTTTGCCGTTGCGATTTGGAACTGCTTTTACTGTATACGACTTCTGCCTCAAACGCTATTTTGATTTTTGGACAAAACCAGGTGACATTCCTATTTAACGAGCCACCGTTCTAACAGAGGGATTCATTATGACAGGATCAGCACGTTCAATATTTTAATCACTTCTCGGTTTCCTCTAGACCGTCAAACGTTCCTAAAATGATTTGAGCACACCGTGAACAGTGGATTTAGGTGAATCCAATTATTTTTTAGTTCCCCGTATTGACAAGTCAGGATTTGCATTACGTCCGTACGAAATTCGCTCGCGCACGTGTTTTTCATTCGTCGCCATCTTGAACACTAAACTATGTCGAACACTAAACTAAGAAGCGCTCGTAGCGAATCTACTTTTTTCTGCCTTCATCCTTAGGACGATGAAAACCTAATAGCGCTTCAATGCGTTAGGACGGAATTGAAACCCGTAGCACGAATTTAAAATCAGTAAGCAGTACTTTGACTATATGTTTAGTATTACTTCTGCGTAAAGTCAACGATGATTTACATAGTTTTCGTCGATCTTGTTTTCCGTGCTGAGCACCAATGCTACCGACGTGCCAGGAAGCCAGCTCCCACACCTGGACCCTACCTATCGACCCATCAACTCATGAACCGGGGACCAACGGCTTTACTTCCCATCCGAAGGAAGGCGTGATCAGAGATGTTATGCCTTAGAACATCCCGGCGGCGCCGACTGGTATTGAACACAGGCCTGCTGGGGTGAGAGGTAATCACGTTTTCCACTACACCACCGGCGCCGTTAATTTACATAGTTGAAGATGCTAATTTCAAATACCAGACTGTAGTGGTAATTCTTACACGGTAGATGGAGTAGATGAAAGTATAGAGTTAATAGTTCCGTTAGAGTACATCAGTGTGAAAATTGCATATAGATAGTAGAATAGCGAGCTAGGACAACTTTTAAGGAAGGTACAAATCAGTTTTTCATCTCAACAACCACACAACCATGTAACTAGCCATGTACTTTTAATAAGGTTGAACAGGATCTAGAAATACACAAACTGGAACTTATTTCACTTTAATCGGTTCAGTCATTGCCGAAAAAAGTGAGTGAGGAACCACACATACACACACACAAAGACACACACGCATACACACTCACACACACACACACACACACACACACACACACACACACACACACACACACACACACACACACACACACACACACACACACACACACACAAACACACACACAAACACACACACAAACACACACACAAACACACACACACACACACACACACACACACACACACACACACACACACACACACATACACACACACACACATACACACAAACACACACACACACACACACACACACACACACACACACACACACACACACACACACACACACACACACACACACACACACACACACAAACACACACACAAACACACACACACACACACACACACACACACACACACACACACACACACACACACACACACACACACACACACACACACACACACACACACACACACACAAACACACACACACACACACACACACACACACACACACACACACACACACACACACACACACCCAAATGGAGGTAACCCAAATAAACCCCAATCATTGCGACATTGCTCAGCAACTGTTGTGGCAGTCGACAACAGAAACAAAGTGCGACGTTGCAATCATTGCGGAACCGTATCGAGTCCCTCCCGATAACGGTAACTGAGTGGCGGATATAGCTGGGATGGCTGCTATACAAGTTATGGGCAGATACCCCATTCAAGAAGTGGTTGCGAGCTCATACGAAGCCTTCGTGATCGCCAAAATCAACAGAATCTTCATGTGTAGTTGTTACGCACCCCTCAGATGGACGATGGAGAAGTTCCACGAGATGCTTGATGGACTTACCGAAGAGCTGGTCGGACGACGACCGGTAGTCATCGGAGAAGGCTTCAATGCTTGGGCAGTGGAGTGGGGAAGCAGATGTTCCAATGCAAGAGGGCACAGTCTGCTGGAAGCTCTGGCAAAACTGGGAGTTATGCTGGCCAATAAAGGCACCAGCAGCACTTTTCGCAGAGATGGCCGAGAATCCATTATCGACGTTACTTTCTGCAGTCCGTCGCTGATGGCAAACATCGATTGGAGAGTGTGCGAAGGATATACCCATAGCGACCATCAGGCGATACGATATGGCATCGGCTTTTTTTCGCCACGAGCTGTCTTCGGGCGCGGACGCATTTGCATTTTGGTCCGCAAGTAATTTGTATATATATATATATTTTTTTTTTACACTTCGACAACGACGCGTGTGGGTCTCGCTGGCCATTTGTACCTTATATTATCGCGTCGAATATTTAAAACATAAGCAGTTATGCCGTGCGGTGTAATATCATGCAGCATCAACGACGACCGCTTTCTATGGAAGTGCGAATTTTGCAACAAAAAATACCATGCTGCCTGTGTCGGAGTACAGCGACAACGGGAGCATTTCATCACGGCATTCATGGTGCCTATGTGTGCTGACTGCCAGCACATTTTACGGAAGGAAGCCGACGTGAGGAAGCTGCTTCATCAACAGGAGCAACTTGTGGAAGCAATCCACTCTCAAACGGACGCGAACCACCGCATTGCTGCTGACCTAAAAAAATTCTGCTTAGTATCAGAATTATTCGACAGCATTGAGCACCTGCTAAATGACGTAAAAGAAACGTTG